TGTACTATTTTAAAGGGTTACAAGTGCTAAGGAGGATGCCCGCATGTGAATGGAGGTATTGATCATACTGAAGGCACTAGGAGGGATGTCAGGTCTCCAATTATTTAATTATCTAAAACTTGACGTCTAAGTCCTAATAATTAAACATGGTTGCCAAAGCATTCATTGTGAGATGTGGGAAGCTCACCTTTGAAAGAGTGGGAATGAGTTGGTTATATCATTAACCTCGCAATAATAGAAGATTTGGGAAGATAGCAGTGCAGTCCAAGCCCATCTCAATTACAAGTGTAAATAAATAACTGTCAATCACAAGTGTAAATAAATAACTGTAGAGTCAAATATGTTAAAAGCAAAAGTATTCAATCCTTTCAATGCGTTTGTCATCTTTTGGCAGATTTAGGAATGGTGCCAAAGTGCAGAGTATTAGATGGATTGCCTGTCTATATCAATTACGCCTGGACAAAGAACAAGGCATAGGAAACAAAAGATGAGCATGTTTGAAGGGGTAATCTATGGAAACACTAAGTAATGCTTCATGGTGAAATGAATCTTTGAGAAAATGAATAAAAGATGTAAATCAAACCGACTGAAGCGGAAAGGGCATTGAATTCCCCATTTATTTCCTGTTCTTTCTCTCTAGGTGAAAACAAATCGAGCAGATTAAGCTTCACCAAGGAATTGCAAGTATCCATTTTGTTTGTTAGTTTCATTCCAACTCCTCCTCGGCTTCAGAGGGGGATTGGATCAACTCTAGTATATTGACGACCTCATTCATGTCTGGCCTGTTCGACGGTACTTGGGACGCACATATCAAACCCAGTTTCATTACAGGAATAGCCTCTTCAATGCGGAAGTTCGATCGGAGCCTCTCATCGACACATTGCTCCACCATGCCCTCATCCAAAGCTGCTCTCACCATATCACAGATCATCTTCCATGTACTCCACAGGTCTTTTTCCAGTCACCACTTCCAAAGCCAAGATGCCAAAGCCATACACATCACACTTTTCAGTTATAGTCACTGTTTTGCAGGCGAACTCTGGAGCCATGTATCCCAAAGCACTTTGGATTTTACTGCTAAAGATGCAACGGTCCAACATTGGCAACAACCTTGCCAAGCCATAGTCCCCCACTTTTGGTTTCCCAGAACTGTCTATCAAAACATTGGTTGACTTCAAGTTGTAGTGAATGATACCATTATGGTGAAAATACGCCAACCCTTAGGCCATCCCAAGAACAATCTTGAATCTCTGCCGCCAAGACAAACAATTGTCGCCAGTTCTATCATGTATATGTTTATACAAACTTCCACTGGGGAGGTATTCATAAATTAGGGGCTGCATGGAGGCTGTCCAGTAATACCCTTCGAGTGCCACAAGATTGTGATGCCTGATCTGTCCCAGCTTCTTCACTTCACTCTCAAAATCTTCTCGTGACTTGATCAAGCTTGTGACAGTTAGCTTCTTGATTGCAACTAAACACCCATCTCGAAGCACCGTTTTGTAAACAACCCCAAATCCACCTCGACCAAGTTCAGCGTCCTTGTTCAGTAAGGTTTGGGCGCCAACTACAAAATCTGCATCTCCACAAAACATGACGAAGTTTCCATATTCTGGATTAGTTTTGGGGGAGCAGCTAAAGTCCTCCCCAGCAGATAACACAAGAGCAGCAGACCGTGAGTGTGAGGACCTTGCATGGATATTGAGGATGGTGACAGCCACTACACCAAGTAGGATAAAAGAAGCTGCAGCAATAGCAATAATGAAAGATATGGTAAGTATGATCTGATGGGGATGGTTGTGGGAGGGGGAATTTCCATTGGTCTCAGAAGAGTTTGGGTTTAGGACAATCGGTTTTGGATGGAGGGAGGGGCAGGAGGTATTGACAGCAGCACCACAAAGAGATGGGTTATGTGATATAGAGAAGGGGAGATATAGTGTTGAAGAAGCCCCCAACTGGAAGTTCTCCCTCAAGATGATTGTGGGAGATATTAAAGGAGAGGAGGTGGGAGAGATTAATGAGCTCCTTGGGCAGGCTTCCGGAAAGTCTGTTGAAACACAAGTCCACATTTTCAAGATTGGAGAGATTTGCGAGGGCAGCAGGAATTGGGCCTGGCAGGTTGTTGTGAGAAAGAATCCTGCAGCATTCACAACACACGAGTAAATATGTTGTTAGAAGCATGTGTGTATGTGTGTGCGTGAGGGAGAGAGAGAGAGAGAATGCTTACAACGATGTCAACAACGAACATTTGTGAATCTGGACTGGGATTTCCCCAGCCAGGAAGTTCTGCTCCAACCTCAACTCCTTGAGTGAGATCGCTCCTCCAATTTCAGCAGGAATACTTCCATTTAATTGATTCACACTGAAGTCAAGGGCATATGCTGATTTTAGTTCACCAATGCTCCCTGGAATACAACCCACCAGATGGTTTCTGGATATGTTCAGCAACTGCAAGTTGCCAAGTTCTCCCACATTGGATGGAATGTGACCACAGAAAACATTTGAAGATAAATCCAAAACTTGGAGACTACCAAGAGAGGCCGGAGATGAAAGGTTTTCTCCCAGCCTCTGCGAAGAAAGTGGAACATTTGGCATAGCTCCCCTAAACATCCACGAAGGGAGATTTCCAGACAAGTGATTATGGCTAGCATCGATACTCAACAGACGATTACAATTTGCCATGGATTCTGGCAAGCTTCCAGTTAAATAGTTCATGGATACATTAAAGCTCTTCAATAATTGGAGGTTGCCAATTGAACTTGGTACCCGACCAGAGAAGTTATTGGTAGAAAGATCTAAGGTCTCGAGATTTTTAAGTTCTCCAATCCAAGGAGGGAGTTCACCCGTGAGAGAATTTCCTCGTAAATTCAGATAATTGCAAGAAGTAAGCATCTGCATTGAGTGTGGAAGGCCCCCGGAAAGGATATTCTCACTAAAATCAATTGATTTTAAGAGTAGGCAGCCACCAATATCCTCAGGAAGCTTTCCGGAAAATCGATTCTTGTGTAAGCTAAGAAATCTCAAATCGTATAAATTTTGAATTCCTGGAGGAATGTGCCCCTGAAGCAAGTTGTGAGAGACATCCAAAGACTGAAGCCCCCTCAAATACCATAACCCAGAAGGCAATTTCCCGGAGAGGTGGTTGGATGAGAAGTTGAGAAGCTCCAGAGAGAAGCAAGTGGTTAAGGATTGAGGGATATTTCCTGTAAGCTTATTTTTGGCGAATGAAACAAGTCATACAGACCCAGATTGCAGGAAAAGTTGTTGGGGAATGGTTCCAGATAAGCTGTTGCCACTCAAATCAATAAATTGCAAATTTGCAAGGTGAGAAAGAGCAGAGTTGACGGTGCCAGTGAAGTTGTTGCTGTCAGGCAATGCTTCTTGTTTACGTGCCTCACCAGCCCTTCTTTCATTCGGGTGTTGGTCAAACCTGAAGGACCTTCTTAAACTTAAACTTTGTCCCATTACAAAATTACACGTCATTCACAACGAAACAAAACGCTGTCCCAATTTTGACATTTTTTTAATTCCTTCAAATGTCTTATTTAAAATTCCAAGCTTTCAGAGTCTTCGTATCTCGGGCTATGCAAGGATGTTTAGCTTGCACATGACACATGAGTGGCGTAAATGGCGCTTCTTTGACAACGTCGGACTTTGTGAATTTTTAAAATGAGATCATTTGCATAAATTATGGTGATATAGCATACTAGTGTATTTCACATTGGGTTCCGGATGCTTGTACGAGCCAGTCTAAGATAGTCATTAATACGATGCCATGCCAATGAATTGAACTCAGCCCAACATAATTGATTACTGTGCCACAAACACCATGCAATCGAAAAACTTGTATGCTGTTGAATATGGCATCCAGCTCCGCTCAGCATTTTATTAAGAAATATTGGCATTGGACGCTCAAAACGGACGCATAAATAAAATGTACATTCCAGGCCTCCCGTCTTCTGCTCACAAGTGCTGCTTTCACAAGTGGGAGGGAAGAAAAAAGGACCGATAAAATCCCCAAATATTTCCCATATGGCAACACAACTATAAACCTCAGCTAGCTTAGCTATATATTATTTACAGCAAACCTACCTGCTGCATCCACCCGAGATACCACAGTATCAGGCTTCAAACCTCACACGTTTCATCCACAATTGTCCAAAAGCTGAATCTTCCAATGAAGTCACTATATCAACTGCCCCCACTGGTGACGTGAGTAGGAGTCTCTCCTTGATTGTCCGAGGGCATATATTGAGCCATGATAGCCCATATCTCCGAATCCGTATACCTCTGCATTTAAAAAAAAGTACTGGCATTAACCAGACCGAGCACCACTTAACCGTTAAGAATAATGAAACATGAGGAATTAAATTCCATGATTTTGTCACAAATTTTGCTGACTATCGAGATACCTTTACCTTTAGTCTCTCACTCTGGAAGGAATAGGGAGAGCTTTGTTCAAGAAGCGGTTGAGATATGCGCTAAAGATATATTTGAGAGATATTTTGTAAAGAGACACTTGTTGTTGGGATCTAGTAAAGATATACTTGAAAGATTTTTAATATCTAGTAGAGATATATTTGGAAGATATTTAGTGGAGACATGAGATATTATATATGGTAGAACAATATATCTCATAGTTTAAATTATATTTAATAAATTGAAACCATATATATATATATCCATATTCAGCCGAGCTCATAAAAAAACCCATAGGATTAAATTATTTAATAAATTGAAACAATATATATACCCATTAGTCAGTGCTCATAAAAAAAACCTTTTCGTCAATATTCCTTATTGATTTGAGTGCATTGTTGAATTGTTGAGCAATCCTAACAATTGGTATCAGAGTGTGTGCGTTGTTGATTGATCCTAACAATTGATATCAGAGCTAACAACTAGTATCGATCCTAACAGAAACGAGAGGAATGACTCAATTGGTGAAATAGTATCTCTCCAACCATGTTGAAAGAGGAAATAGCTTTTTTTTTCATGGGTGAAGTGAAATTGTACCGTAAAAATAGAAATTTATCGGTCATATCAAGCTGAAAACAGATACGAAGGCTTAAGCAAGCACTCATAATTACACATTCATTCTTGCAGTTTACACAGCTTTACTATGGACTTTTCTAGCATCAGTAGATTGTAATACCATTTGGTGTTTATGCACCTCATTCAATTCTCAACAGTAACATATCAACATGCAAGATGCAATCGAATAACAGTACCCGGATTCTGTACTTGTAAACTGCATATCCCGCAATCCCAGTGATGGCAAGCACAAGGATAATAATCTTCACGATTCAAGCTCTCATGCTTTGGGCCATGCAAATAGATACGGGGATTGTGTAGTAAGATTTTGCGAGTAAACTTACCAAGGCCGTACTAATGAAATACATACAACAACGGGGCTTGGGGGGCTTGGGGTTGCATTAAACTTCATAAAGGCGAAGGCCAGACAAAGTAAAAACAAAAATCAAACTTATTCACGTTTGTCCTCCTCAGTATCACCCGTAATTATTAGTCCCTTCCTTTCCTTCCTTTCCATTTTGGAAGTCATATCTCCTCCACTGGTCAAACAAATACCTTCTTCTTCCAAGTCTTCGCCTGTCTCCTCTGAATATGCGTACCTGCAATATCAATCGGCAACTTCATCGACTGAAATAATCATAATTACAGCGTTCCTAGATAATGTAAAAATATAAAGGAACAAACAACTATCACAAATTTTTATTTAAGATAATAAGAAACAAACTGTTCCTAGATAATATGAAAATATAAAGAAGACTAAAAAATACCAAAAAAGACTCTAATTGGTGTTAGTAGTAAATTATCATAATTACAGCGTATTGAAAGGGTGGGCCAAGTGGCCATTAAAATTAGCTCCCATATTTATAGTCTCTTCCTTCGAAAAAAAAAAAAAAAATCCAGAATTTATTGCTTTCAAAACCAATCATCGGATACTTTTTACTCCTCTCAAACAAATGGTGCATGCTCTCAAATCTAAAGTAAATATTCGGTTTAGACTACCAAGTTTATTCAAACAGGCAGTGTTTTCCTAGAAATAAGATTAAATTCCACATCTACCAAGGAAAGGGAAAGGTAAACATTGCCTAGTGGGTAAATTAAGAAAGTAATTCCAACAAAAAACATGAGCATACAGAAAAAAAATAAAAAATAATGTGTTCAGGGTCATTAGCCAGAAAGACGTGCACCTCGTAGGGTTACTTGATGGAGCCCAGAGTAAGCAGATCACACCAAGGAGACAAAATGACAGGAAAGTCCAAAAGGCTGGAATGATCCAAGCAATTCTCCATAGCTCACTTAACGGATCAGATGCATTAAAATATAGCTAAGTCAAAAAGAAGGGAAAAAAATTAGTCAATTCTTTGCTCACTTTTTTATTCCATACAAACCAGGGGCTTTTCGAAGTGTAGCAAACCTAAAAATTCAATAAGGTTGGGAAAAGGATGGTCAGGGGGACTCTATAATTCAACAACCAGTTATGTCTTATACTCCACAAGGGAGAATTCATCATGATTAATTTACATCCACAAAACATTACCTCGAAGCCAATCCAAGATATAGAAAGGAGAACAGATACAACAAGAGAATTGGTAAAGTTTCTATATAACTCCAGCTTAGCCATATTTCTCCTTATCTGCATCATCAAAACAGTATGAATAGGTCAATTCCAAAAAGGATCTGACAGATAAAATATCTCAAGCTAGCCATTCTCAGCATTCAAATCCATAATTTGTTGGGAGACAGGTTGCAGTATTCTACCACAGAGATTCAATCAACTAACTCGGAGAATAAGAATACATGATTTATTTAATTGTTAAAAGAAAGGAATAAATGCAGTGACATCATAAATGAAGTTGTGAATGCTAGGATGTGCGTAACAATTACTAACTCAAGCCTGCATACCTGAAGTTTTTCTAATGTTCGTGACAAAGATGAGAAGATCCAGATAATAAAGCATGAATCCAGGAAAGCAACAGGTAGAACCAGAAAAAGCCTTGCTTTTCCATAGAAATCATTGATGTTACTTAGATGTTCCACAAGCTCAAGTGCCTCTGATGCAATAAAATACACAACACCAAGAAAGAGCAGTTTTGAAGTGATAGCACCGAGGGTTGGCCTCACCACTCCATAGCCCATTGAAACAACCAACAGAAGAAGGCGAGACAACGTCTTCTTCACAGATGTAAAGGTCGCCGCCCATATAGTAATTCCCATTGGTCTGCTTCCAGTTGAATTAAAGTTAGCATATTCAAAGTACCATATAGCCATTTCACACATTCCAAGAGCAATAACCGTTGTAATGTGGTAATGCAACTGTATAACATCCTTCCAATACTTAACAAACCATAGAAACCAGATTAAGCCGAGCAAAAGATATGCTAAAGACATGAGTTCATAAAATTTCATTAGAGGAGCCATCTTCCCTGGTAAATAGCCATCCGGATTCCTCCACACTGTTCTTCCCTCGATTATTGTGCCTTTGAGTTGTGGGTCACAAAACATAAAATACAGGTAGTACATACCAGTACTATTGATTTCAATAGTTTGAGGTGGAATGACAGCAGTTTCATCTTTCCCAACAAAGAACGTCTTGATGCGCTTAGGCCAGCCGGGGTTGTCGTGGTTTTCATTGATAATAACCTCACCCGACTTGCAATGTCCAGCATCGTGAAGACTGCGTGTGCAGCAGATCATATCTGACTTTAGGAAAGAGCCTCCAATTCGCTCCCTATCTTTGACCTCGAAAATGATGGCCTCCACCAATCCGGTAAATTGCTGCATTTCATTCGTCTGACTAGCTGATTCTTTCGTCCTCACGAAAGTAACAGTTTCAAACCTACCATTTCAAAAGTGAGGCTTAAATCCTGTATATACGATATACATTATAATATCTTGAGCAGAGGAGCTAAGAAGCAAGAATCCAAATTACAAGGGAAGTCCTTGAAGCAAATGTAGGGTCAATAGTATAGCATTTAGGGCTTCTTCAAACAACAAGGAGAAGCAAATGTAGGGTTAACCGAAGGTGATTAGATTTGTGAAGAGACGAATGCTTACCTGATGAAGGACTTGCCTTTGAGGGATTTGTCAGTGGAATTGGGGGAAGAAGAAGCGAATACCTTAGAAGCGAAAAGAGCCTCGCTGCCGCCATGGAAGAAGAAAGCATTTGACTTGGGGATGAAAAAGTCATTTCGATACTCGTGGATTGAAGCGTCAACCTCTATGAATCTGTTACACAAGAATGTCAATCCAACTACAAAACTGAACACCCAGGGTTTCCCAATCCCGATCGCCTTGTGACTCATCCCCACCTCTCTGCTTCTCTCCGTCCGCTCCATAAATCATTTGGTAAAGGAATCCGCTGGTCGTCAGTTGACAGTAGATGAAGCCCAGGACAAAATGACACACCATCTTTCGCTAATATCGAACGTCGTCGTTTGGGTTCAAATTAAAGAATATTTTGCATATAACGAGGCGGAAGGAATTACTTCTCTCTTTCTTTCTTAACATTTGGTTTAAAAATCATTACAAAAGAAATTATAATTCGATTTTTGTACTTCATTTTATCATTTGCTGTCCTTTATTCCCAAAAACAATTCTTGTAGTCCATTCCGTGAAACAATTTTTTTTTAATTTTTTTAAATTTTTTTTAAACTTGGTGTGTCAAATAGGAAAATTTGAATATAGGGTATATAGGGTATTAAGGGCAGTATATTTTAAATGTATGTAAGGTTCAAATTGATAAATTTGAAATGTTAGTGTGAAATTAAATCTTAGAGAAAAAATGGTTTTTATTTTTCTAAACCCAACTGATAAGAGGATTCTGACTCTGGATACTCTGTATTCATTAATTGCTTCTGGTCCGAATTTTTTCACAATTTAAACCGGCTGAGCAAACTTGTTTTTATGAATTGTTATGACACAGAATGGTAACGAAATTCAAACGAGTTCCAACCCTAAGCCATTGATTGGGAAGATGTGGACGTTTCCCTTAAAATCATGATTCAGAATAATATAGATTGTTGAAATGAACCTGGACTCCAAGCATGACCAGTAATGGGTTGGTGCAATGATCAACTAATTAAGCAACTTTATTGTAGATGAGGATAATTAATGGGTTAATTTCTTTAATTTGGCACTAGTGGAACACACGGGTTGCTAAATTGCTAGCTTTCCCACAGCCACAAGTCAAATTATAGTGCTCCAAATAAAGCAACAACCCGATGAACCACAATTGGAAGAAATAAATTATTTAAATCAATGAAAGCCGCACGCATGTGGAGATGACATAGAATGGCAATCGCAGGAATGGGTGAACTAATTTGATGACTTAGAAATGCGCTGCGCGGCATTATTAATATTATTATTTCATAAATATAGTACACAATTGGGTCAAGTAAATGGGGTCAATATTGCATATAAAACAGGAGGAGTTGGTTTGGGTTTGGACGCCAGGAATGAGTTTTAAGATGGAAGAATTATACATTGATAGCACATTGATGAGTCTGAGCCTGTTGCTTGTGGTGGGGTATCACGCGCATCTGTGGCAATGCTTGAAGAAGAAACCTGAGAAGACGACCTGGGGAATCCAGCGGGAGGGCCGGAGAGCGTGGCTAGAGCTGACGCTGCAGCTGGAGGGTGGCAGCATGCAGGTGGTGCAGATCTTGAGAAACAATCTGATGATCATAATCCTCAGAGCTTCCATATCAATCGCTGTAAGCTCCTCCGTGGCAGCCCTCACCAACAATGCTTACAAAACCCAACAACTATTCCGAAGCGGAACTCAATCGAGCGCCGCCAGTAGTGGGCTGTTCGCTGTGAAATATGCGGCCGCCTTTGTGGTGTCAGTATCGAGCTTCCTATTCAGCTCATTTGGGGTGGGATTTCTGATCGACACCTGCATGTTGGTCAGCACTGCAACTGCAAGCACCCATATACAGAGACTGGTGGACACAGGGTTCGCCTTGGCTTTTATAGGCAACCGCTTGATGTGGCTCAGTTTTGCCCTCTTGTTATGGTCCCTTGGTCCTATTCCGGTCGCCCTCTGCTCCTTCGCATCGCTTTGGGGTTTTTCTTTTATTGATTTTGTTGGCAAATCAGTCAAACACATGTAGCTAATAGCATTGATCTCTCAAAATATATACTTCCTACATGCGCTCGTTGATGTGGATGTGATATTATAAAGGAATCAATCTTTGCACGTATAGTTGCATATAGTGGGAATTTCGAAGCACGTTAAAATCAAGTCAATTGCATTTCTTTTGAGTTTTGATATGTTGAATCAAAGTTATGATTTATTGATAATGTTGGATTTTGATGGATTGAACATAATATATATAGATTTGTTTGAATTTTCTCCTCTTTTATAGTTATGTTAAAGTTGGTAATGTTGATGCATTACACTTGATTTTAGTTGTATACTCCATTACGATAAAGTTGGTGATTGTTGGCCATTGGCCTGAGGTCTTTCGCCTTAGTCGTGCTTGCCTTGAAAAGAGTAATCGAATCTTTTGGACACCTAGCATTGCAATTGACCATAATTGAAGCTCTAATCCCAAAGTTAACAAGAATTAGGAAGGAGATTTGGTGACATGAGAAACTTATAAGAATCTTGCCCATTGTTTCCACAATGGAGGAAGATGTATTCTTCAAATGCCCGGGAGATAAAAGCTGCAATCGCAAGGTTGTAATTTGGTTGACCACTTGGGAAATTGTGATGATCATCTATGGAAGTCCCTTTTGGCTTTAAATATGAATCTGCCGGGCCGCTCTTCAGCTACAGCATGCAACCTTAATGACGCCTGTCAATTGCCATCACATACAATCCACAGAAGACAATACCTAATTAATGAGAATGTACATTACATTATTCAAGTCAAAAGCCAACTCTTCGAGCTACTCTATTCGGTTGCCAATTGCTTGAGCTGGAGGTTGGCGGTGGAGGCAAACGACTAACAATCCACTCGGTTATTAAATAAACGATTAATCATTATATTACTACACAGGTGCAATGGTATGAGCCGGCAGCGTTCAGGGGCATGGGGCTTGAAGGAATCATATATTACTCTATGCTAGATAGAATAAGAATTTCAAACTGTCGATAGTAGTAATCACAATGATAACATTCACCTTTGGCTCACTTGATAGTTGATATACATACAGCTCAATTAAATGAAGGATGAAGGATGATGGGGTACCTACACCTTAACCGCTACTGCTCTAAGTCTCTAAGATCCTGAGTCGTGTACTAGTAGAGTAAACCAATAATACATGGCAATCCTCCTAATCAATCGCACTTTGAGTTTGAATGCACTTTTTTCCAGAACCCCGCGACCTCCGTGCAGCCTTTCTCCGTTTGGCTTCTCCTGGGGTGCTGCTAAAAATTCCAATCCTTCCAATCCCTTTGGACAGTGAAGTCAGGAAAGTTGTTCCGTTTCCGCTCTTAGACATCATCCCCTCTTTCATAAATGATTGCTCCTTCTCCAACTCACTCAGCCTCACGCGCATTCGGGATATCTCAAGCTTTAACTCCCTGTTTTCTCTCCTTAGAGAAGCATAATTATCTCTTGGTGACATAGCTGCGCTTCCTACTCCACTACTCATTCTTTGTGACATGAATCCATCGCCTACATTTACCGATATTGAATTCTTCAACCGCAGCTGCTCAAAGTAGAGAACTCGCACCGTCATATGCACTGGTAGCCGATCATTTTTTGCAGCATGGTTGCTTGCTTCTTGGGATAGCTTCTCGCAGTCTATCAAATGGCACACTCTCTTGCACTCCTCTTCTGTTAGCTTTGGATGGGCCTGAATGTGAGCAATATTCAATAATGATAATGAACTGCTATTCTAAATCGACAATGTTGGAAAATATATATGTTTTTACCTTCAAATAAATGTCAACTGCTCTATAGAGCCCATCATCGATAACTCGTGCATAATCAGGCAGTATCTCAATCATAGCAACAAACTTGTGCAAGCTCAAATATGGATCCGGGGCAATTTCAGCTAGATATGCGTCAATAAGTCTTCCAACTTTCAGCAAACAACCATGGTTTGGAGAAGCAAGGTCCTGGTCAGAGTCATATCCACAGTCTTCATTTTCTTCTTCCTCTACCCGCTGCAGAAAATTAACCAGCATCCTGTGAACAGTATCTACGTCAAACAACATATCCCCAACTCGAGTCGAGGGTATGAGGAGATCATCAAGTGAAACCATTTCCAACCGAAATGCAATCCTCCTCTCAAGCTCAAGCCTGCAGGCAATGTTAGTGTCCATCATGATAGCCATCCTCAACATCCCAAACAGAAAACTTAGTGGAATGATACAGCTTTTGTCTGTGGGCATTAGACTTACTAGGGTCTCCACTATAGTAATTTGATGATTTTGCAGCGCAAGAGGACTTAGTTTTGGCCTTGATGGGTTCCAAAATTGAGATTTGGATGTGCCCTCTAATGATGCCTGAGCATAATGCATGAGAGATACTACAATGCTGTCTGGTCGGATGCCTTTTCTTGCCATGGCACAAATGACCCTTTCATAAAAATCAATTTGTAGGGACGAGAGATCTTCAATCCACCACTCCAGAGTAGGGCATTTGAGGTCTGGGGAATCACCAACATAATCTAATCTAGACAGACCAGAGACCAGTTGCTCCTTGCAAGCATTCATGGCAATGCCCTCCACACATGCATCGGTTATTCCTACTTGCTCAGCTACAGGACTCAGACCCTCACAGGTGACCAGGACTTGCACTGATTTTTCGAGGCTATGGATCACAATCTCATTCAGGTACATTTCTGTCCGCGCAATAAGATTCTCTTCCCGATACTCTTCAGTCATTTCCAGGTATTCTCCAACGCAGCGCAGATGAGCCACGTTTGCAGTCGTGATTTCAAAATTCATTCCATAGCAGAATTTCACGGCAAGTTCAAATGCCTGAGGCCCGCCAGGTAAGTTAAGGAGCTCGAATTTCGAAGCACTACAGCCCTTACCATCGCCCACCATTCTTCGAATCTTCCCACTTCTAGCCACAAGCGGAAACTTGAAGGCACCAGAAGGAAAGAAAAAAAAAACGCTTAAAACGCTTGCATTGCAGAACTGAGTTGTGTTTATGTTGTTAATTTCGGACTACCAAAACAGATCGGCCCCAGAGAAGAGCCATCTGAGGAGTGTTGTTAATTTCAGTCTTAAGAAGGAAAAAATAAAGTTGAATCCTAATTTCTTCTCCAGAAATGCGCAGGAACACAGTTGGAGTGGAGGCAGACATGAGACATCACATGAAAATGAAAAGAAAGAGGTTAGTTACCTTGTGCAGTAGAAATGATTCTCCATGGACGGCAATTGTAATGTCACCAGCAACGTCGGAGAAGATACTACAAAAGATAACACAATGTTTTGGTCAAGGAAGTAGAACAAAATAAGCATAATTTAAGGAAAGCAGGGCAGTAGGTGAGAATTCAGAAAAGAAGACTAGGGTATAGAACAGGCGGCGTTTTCTCCTCGCATGCAAGCCTAAGGACAGAGAGGAAGAGAGATACCGGGTGGTGGAGTTGCTGAGTTTGGGAGTGGAAGAAGCATTAATGGATGCCTCCGACATCAATACCATGTGGTTTGAGCTTCAGCTGCGCGTCACTGTTGTAATTTTGAGGGAAGGGAACATGAAATGAAAGTGACACACCGGCTTCATTATTATATTTTACAATATAGGCTCAACACTTTGGTGAACAACAGCCGTTTTATTATTATTAGTATTATTATTATTAAAATCTTAGCCTTCCTGACATATGTCTTTCACCCTCCCCCCACTGCTTTGTCTCAAGTGTGGCATTGAGTGGCCTGTTGTTTGTTTGCAGGTCTTTGTAGGAAACACTTCAATTCTCGCTTCCCCTCCGTTGTTAACTCAATGGGTCGACATGGTCATTCATCCGCCTCGTTCGACGCACTGACTGGGGGGTGTGGGGACACGGCGAGTTTTTATTAATCGGCGTACTAAAGTTTAGTCAAAGGGCGTTTAGTGAAAGGAATTGATTGGGGTCTTCCATTCCATCTCTTGCGTGGACTGACACTGGCGCGGAACTCGATAAAGAATAAAGATGCAATGGTGTCGGATGGGTATCTTGGTTGATTGGTCACTCAGCCCAGTTTTTATAATTGCCAATAAGAAAGAAGAAATCTGCAATCCCAATAAATTCCACGGCAGCTGCTGCCTGAGAGCGTATGTGATTTTGACCAACTATTAGCTACTCGTCGCCGATGGAACCAAATATTTGCACCACACAGTTTCCAGTTCCAAGGATGGCGTTGGATTGTTGGGAGCTTAACTCATGAAACTTGGCTTCCCCACCCTTTTTACACTTGGCCATCAAATAAATCAAAATATTATTGGTGATCCACATAATACATACAATCTAAGAAGATTACACACTATTTCAAATTCACTAACACAAGAATAAATCCAATAATTATATTCGGTTTATATGACACAACCACCTCACCGGATACAAACCCCCAAACAAAACTACATAATCTTTACCCTCTCTCTCTCTCAATAGAAATGAGAAAACAGAAAGACATCTCTTAACATTCTGTTGTTTAAAAATAAATAATAAATAAACTCAAAAAACTGAATCCTAACCTGTTGGCGCAGGCATTTGAGTGATCAATTTGCATAATAGAGAGGGAATATGTAATGGAGAGGAATGTGATCCCTCAGCGACCAGTTTTAGCCCGCTTCATCCCGCTTGAGTTGAAAGGAGAAACGCTGCCGCTGGGGCCAGGACTTTCTTCTCTCAAATTTGAATTCAGCATTGCTAATTCACGCAATTGTTGTCTTTTGATATAATCATTTGGCTCGTCCTGCATACACATATATTGAATTTAGTAGTGAACAATAAATGCACACGAACACGACTCTCCACAGTGGTATGATATTGTCCACTTTGAGCATAAGCTCTCATATGGCTTTGCTTTGGGTTTTCCCAAAAGGGCTCATGCCAATGGAGAGTGTATTCTTAGATTATAAACCCATGACCATTTCCTAAATTAACCAATGTGGGACACTTTCATCCAACACCTCTCCTCGAACAAAGTACGCCTCCCCTTAATCGAGGTTCGACTCCTTTGGAGTCCTAGTCATTTTTTACTGCCTTCGAGGAGGCTTGACTCCTCTTTCTTTTTGGAGTCCTTTGTTCGACATTCGAGGATTTGGCCAATCTATTGGCACGACTAAGTTTTAGGGCATGACTCTGATACCATTTAGGGAATGGTCATGGGTTTAAAATCTAAGAATACACTCTCCATTTGCATGAGGCCTTTTGAGGAAGCCCAAAGCAAAGCCATGAGAGCTTATGCTCAAAGTGGACAATATCACTCCATTGTGGAGAGTCGTGTTCGTCTAACCGCACCAACAATGATCATCTCTATCCTAAAATCAAATTAAACTTGATGAGGAAAGTAAACAGTACCACGGGTTTGAGTAGTTCTTCTATAATTTCTTGTGCCTGTCTCAGCCTGATATCAACGATATTGGGCGGTAAATCAGCCTCAATTAGGACATGCAGCGGTTCATTCAGGTGTTCATAACCAAGCCTTCCATGGAGTTTCTCTTCCTTGAGAGTTTAAAACAGTGATAGATAAAGAAATAAATAACCAATCACAGAACTCAATGTTAAGCATCCAATGGTAAAAATGGTGGCTTAGAGAGAGTATTTTACACGAGGGTCTCATCCAAGCAATTTCACCTAAAATACCTTATCTGGATCTTTAATTGACCCCTTTCCTCTAATATACACACGACATCCTGTAGTAGCTTCCACCCGTTTCAGAGAATTGCCTCTGGGTCCAAGAAGCCGCCCAACAAAATTGAACTGACATCCCAGAAACCAAGCAAATCGAAGTTTTATAACACATTTTTAAAAACACGTACTCAGACACTTGTTTAAAGAACTTACATTTGGGTACGTGTCCACTGGAATTTCCAACTGCAAAATCCTCTTTACAGTAAATGAACTAGGGCTTGCAGGAGCACCTTGCCAGTCCATTGTCATTCCAGGATTTCCACTTAACATTTGCTGTGAAAAGAAAAACAAGTGGCATCGGTGGTCAATTTTTTTAGAACATTTTTTAAGACAAGATGGAAGTTTTTATCGGTTAATTTATAATGTTGGAATACTATTCTTTCACATCTGTGAGCAACGAGAACTTGGGTGCTTTAACTAAAATTAAACAACTATGGGAACTGTTTAACATATCTGCATGTTTATCAATAACTGAGTATTCTTTCAAGCAAAAGTAATGGCAGAATAGTAGCAGGATTATAGCACAACTCATAAATTTTATACAGACATAGGAAACAGATATTTTATTGAATATAATTCATAGATTTGAGCAAATACTTAAGCTTTGATACCGGCTTGAAAGCACTGCAAACAAGAATGCTTATGAAGACCCATTTTTATTTGTTTGTTGGTCCAGACATCATGAAATCTACTTCCTACACGACTTGCGAGTTTAATCACTTGAGATGCTATCTAGTGAGGCCCACGATTAATATGTGGGTGGGACAGAACTGTGGAACAGGAAAGGAACAGAGGAGCTGTTCGGGAGTTGCATATAAAATTGTTTTTTTTTATATTTCTTTTCCCTACATATAACAAAAGTTTAGTGAAAGAATATTTATTCTACTGTTTCTTAAAGATGGTTTTCTTCTTTTTCTTTTTCCTTTTCTATAGCTTGCTCTCACGTGTGCGGTGTGCTCTATTTTGGAGAACAGCAATTGTTCTTCCTTTGAAAACAAAAGCCTGTAAATAGTTTCCTAATGATGACTACACTTTTGTTTAAGCAGCTTGATCATATTTTTCCAAACCAAGTATTTTGAACTAAACTGCATAGAAAACTCAAATTAGCTCCTGAGTTGCTCAAAAATAAAAAGAGTTCCCTAGACTTGAAGTTTTCTTGGCCAACCATCAAGTAAGTTAGGATAGAACTTTAAAACGAAGGAAGTTATGGAGCATCATATGGTGGCAGGTAAATTTTTAAGTTGGAAAAGTTTCAGCCAAATAAAAAGAAAACAGGAAGCACCAGACAGAATCTTCCAATTAATGATCTGTTCAAATGAGTGTGACAAATTTACGAGTGAGAAGTCCAGAAAACAAAGTTACCTCCTGAGGAAGTCCATTCCAGCCGCCAAAACCTGCGCCAGAAACATTTGAGACGAGGTTAGAAGAAGGCATTGGGCTAGGGCTTCTTTGTCGTAATCTCTCCAAGTCACTAAAACCTTGGTTGGACATCATTCCAGAAATCCGCAAAATCTCTGCACATATAGTTTACTGTCAAATGTAGATACCACATTACTTCTTCATCCATTTAATATGCATTACTGTCTAGGTGGGGTTCCGAATATTTAGTTAGATTTTTATGTGACATAACCTACAGGCTTCAGTTGATCATTAATATTTATCCCATTTTATTATCTCGCATTTCATTTTCTTTTTCTGCTTTTCTTGGATGTGAAGATCCAACGCCATCTTTTAATGTGGTGAAAAAACATATATTGATTTGAAATATTTTTGTAGGCAAATAATGTGATAGTGAACAAATTAATGGACAGGTATTTGATTATTTGAAATGCAATGGAGTGTTAGGATGGGTAAATGAATGAAATTATATTGTAATATGGAAGAAAATTACATTGGTCTCCTACAAAACTACTACCAAGAATTCGGCCTACAAATCCTAAACTCACTCGTCTTATAACCATAAGCTTGAACAAACTTCTGAAACAGTTACATTCCCACTCCCTCTATTTCTCTACTAATACTCTTAACTCATCTAGATTATGGTTCAATTTAATGCCTCTGCCTTGTACCATAATTTTTTCTGCTTCAGAACCTGGTTAAACAACTAAAACTAAAGGTGAATTACTGTCAATTCAACTCAACTCACTTGCATGAAGGCTTTAGGAAAAGAAAAGTTTGACTGAAACAACTAAAAGTAACAGCTTATGCGATGAAATGTGGAATAGACATGAAGTTTAAAGTTGATACATTATCCAAAGCCTACTCTCAGAACAGCTAACAACTAAAGCACAGTCATTGGTAATCTTTATTTCAACATTTTGCATAAAAAATTGAAATACCAGTAATCTATTCTATTCTATTCTATTCATTTCTATTCTATTCTATTCTATTCATTGTAGACCAACTACTACAGGGGAAGGATCGATTATTAAGCAGAGCGTTCCTGGGCATGTAAGTGATGGGTAATGCGGCTCAAAAAGGCGCTCCAATTGACTCCGAAATATAAAATCTCAGATTAGATTTTTATGTGAATAGTGAGTAGATTTAATGAAATGAAATGAAAGTGAAGTGGTGGCAAGATGTTATAAGAAAGCAGTAGGCAAAGATTGAAGGGTGGGGGGCGATGTTAATAGGAAAGCATAGGAAGGATTTGCTTGAAAGCAGGGAATGAAAACTACACCTTGATTCAAAAGTCGGCTACAAATAGGAAGGATTTGCATGAAGGGTCCGAGTTTGTGATGCTCGGCCAACAGCTCCGACAAGTAGTGGCTAAAGAATAAAAACCCCCACACAGATCAGAAGAAGAAGGAGAGGGAGATGAAGAAGAAGATGAAACAAATGAACCTACCTGTCTGCATCAGCGCTGCTTCTAATCTGAGGAGAAGCAGCTCTTGCAGGAGAGAAGTTGGGATTATACAAACCTGACATTACTTCTTGGGTCTCTTTCTTTAAACTATTCGGAATCTCAACCAACAAAACAATAGGAAGAGAAACAGTTCTCAGGTGCTGTTGATGCGGAGGACACAAGCACCAATACCAATACCAATACCAATACCAATACCAATGAAGGGAAGAGGTAGAGGAAGCGAAGGAAAGGAGAATTTGCAGAAAGAAAGCCTAAATTTTTTCTGAGTACTACGAAATTTTTAGCCTAAATTTTTACCCACGCAATGTAGTGTTGTGCGTATTCACCGTTAGAGAGACAAAATTGTATGAGACAAAAGTAAAACGAAATAATTGAGAAGAGAAAAAACTGAGAATAAAAACAACTGGGAGGAGGTGGAGTGGAGGGTGTCGGACAAACAGCCGCATCTTTCCAAGGAAGCTAAAATCAAGGCGGTAAAAGATTTCCCAATTTTTGGCGCCCAATCTCTCACTCTCTCCACTGCCCACTGGATTTGAGTTTTACTATTGTAATTTTCTGGATTCTTTTCCCATTCGGATGTTTCCTTCGACTGAACACACACCTGTTAGGCATGCAAAGCTTGAGATTTGACAAATAATGGGCCTGCGCTGTGATGCGATGAACAGCCCAATATCAACCTAAGATATTTCCTATAAATAAGCTAGTGAGGAGCATGAGAACGTGTACATTATTTGATGATGCATTCAAGATTTGACGCAACAATATTTATATATTTATTAAGTATGAAAATATGTGGATTCTTAATTTGTATTGACCCAGGCGGTGGGTTCTTTGAACTACATGGTTATTGTTAATACAATACGTGGTTGAAGGGAGAATACCCAAAGCAAAGTAAAGCAAAGAAATCAAAACAAAACAGATAAACATAGAAATATCCAAAGTGTTACGAGGGCATAAGAAAGAGAAACAGGGCAAGGGCAGTGTGGAGGGACGTCGTTGTGGGAGTGGAATTACGGGAATGAATCAGCAACTCCGGACGATAACGCTACGCATCATGTCCTTGAATTCGAAGAAATCAACCCGGCCATCGCGATTGCTGTCAACCGACAAAATCATCTTCTGAACCCTGTCCAGCTCATTCCCCTCCGACAATCTCAGCTTTCTTAGAACCACTTGGAGTTCGGTGGCGGATATGTACCCATCCCCATCCTCGTCGAATACCCTGAATGCCTCCGATAGATCCAACTCTTCCTGCGACACCGGCGACATGTTTGTTTCCCTCTTCTCCTCCTTCTCCTCCTCATCCTCCATCGGCTCCCCAAAATAGGTGTCGTTTAAGGACTGGTGCAGGGCTGCAAAGTCTTCGAACCTAAGACCAACATTTCCCGGTGCGATGAAGGAGTTGACCGTGGAATCCAGGTCCGATTCATCAGCATCCAGCCCAAGAAGCCCGAGAGCTTGACCCAGCTCCTCCGTGGTGATCATTCCGTCCCCATTCTTGTCGAACATGTCAAATATGCGACGCAGGCGAAGGGAGTTCAGGCTGGGGCACCGAAGTCGGAACGACAAAGAGGAAGACGAGGGTTTCTTCGTCAGGCGGGGTCGGGGAACATCGGAGGCCATCGCTTCCATTTCCAAGATTTCGAATAAGCTGCCTGCCCAAAGGAATCAACACAAAACAACAAGAAACACAACAGAATTTGGGGGATAAGGGGAGGAGACTTTTAAGGAGGGGAGGGACCCGACTTGTAAGGAGGGAGGGAGGCGACCTTTTTTGTTTAGAGAATAGGGTAGGAGACTTTTAAGGAGGGAGGGAGGGAGGGAGGGAGGGAGGCACTCTTTCCATTCTCATCACCCGATTAATATAACAAATCCCGATTTGGATCTTGCTTGGGATGAGAATGAATTGAGAAATTAATTAGGAATTAAAAACATGAAATAAAATGGATCTTGTCCTCGCCCCCGGGTAAAAGCCCAACCCCACTTCTCTCCTTTTCTATATCCACAAGAGGGATGGCGTGGACGTTGGAACGTCAACACGGACTCCACGTGCACGTCTGCGCTGCCCATCCCTTTCTTTCTATTTCCACTTGTTCTAGATTTTAGCAGTCAACCACTTTTTATATTTAAGAAAAGTATTTACGTATATCTTACGTTGTACTTGTCTTTCTGTAGTGGCCATTGAATGTCTTTGCTATTGTCACAAACTCTTCCTTATTTCTCTAATAACACATTTTTTAATTTCATTTGTTGTATAGTTGAAATGAATTGTCGCTATTTATTTAATCAACATATTCCTCACTTTTTTTTCTTTAAAATATAATTGAACTACTTTGAAAAGTCCAAATGTGTGGCCTACGTTAAATTTATTCACTGTGAGAAGATGAAGAAATCGTGTTCACAATGAATGGATCAAACTTTGGCCAACCAAGTCAAAACCTATCTGCCCCTTCCATACATTGTTCCCACCACTAGGTATCTGTCTTGGAACAAATTCCACCAAAACTTAGAATTTTTTAGCTTTCAAAATTTGGTTGGATTTTGAAAACATTTGTAGAAAGCCAATAATAAAGCAAAGAAAAACAGGGATGAAAATACTTTTTATAACCTTAACTTCTAAAAATTTAAAACCAAATTTTAAATGGTTCAGACACTAGGGTATCTTGCTCTATTATATTTGATTATCAACCAAGACTATTCTCCAGAGCATCCCAATCCTCATATTCAGTAAATTAATTCAAACTAAGATGTCACCGAATTCATCATTTTTTGTTAGCATTTATTTTGTTGATTCACTCGATCACTCAATCTCTTTCCATCGTGCTCGATGTCACGGTCATGTTTGTACACTCAACATTTAAAAAACTCGATTGGAAGAGCTTGCACTGTCCCCTGATACACTGGCTGCAATGAATCCCGGATTACTTTTAGCTACAATTTTTGTAACGACCCAGATCTACCGCTAGCAAATATTGTCCTCTTTGGGCTTTCCCTTCTGAGCTTCCCCTTCCGAGCTTCCCCTCAAGGCTTTAAAACGTGTCTGCTAGGGGAAGATTTCCACACACTTGTACACTTGTAAATGGTGTGATTTGTTCTCCTCCCCAATCAATGTGGGACATCACAGTCCGCTGACACTCTTTCCTTCCTCCAATCGATGTGGGACCGCCCCCAAATCCATCCCCTTTTGGGGCTCAGCGTCCTTATTGGCACACCGCCTTGTGTCTACCTACCCCTTTCGAGGAACAGCGAGAAGGCTGACACATCGTCCGGTGTCTGGCTCTGATACCATTGTAACGACCCAGATCTACCATTAGCGCTCTAAAACGCGTCTGGGGAAGGTTTCTACACTCTTATAAACCCTTATAAATGGTGTGATTTGTTCTCCTCCCCAACCGGAGACATCACAATTTTGTTCAAAATGGCTTCCGCAATTGAATACCTATCTATGGCGAAACAAAAAAAGGAAAAAAACAAAAAAAAACCGTCATCTACATACATCAGGGACTCATAATGTTCATCAAATTCCCTTTCCGTCGTCATATTCTGATTTCTCGTCACTGAAAAAGAAAGGCCGGTAGTAGGAATAGGATGATTTAGTTAATTAGGCGGGCATTTGCTTCATGGTTGATGTTGATGTTAGTTGTTAGAGTTGAATTCCGATTCACTAGTCGCCATTGCTGCAGCAGGGCGTGAGTCAAAAGTAAAGCTGAAGTGTTCAATTTATAGTAGGGTTTAAGGAATTTGAGTTTTCTATTGGAAGGCGAGAAACAAATTTCATTAATTTCAGTTCTAGTTTTATTCATTAGACGCTTCATGTATATACATCCCAGAGTTGAAGTCGGTCGCTATATACAAATCCTGGGAATGACATGGGATGGGATGGGATTGGATTGGATTGGATTGAACTGGATTGTTATGGGAAACAAAAAGAAAAGCACATCTATTGGAACCACTAGATTAGAGCAAGGAAGAGAGTCTAGATTTTGTCTGGATGATTACATCAACGCAGAAGCTGGATTCCGCTCATCCTGTAGAGGGCTTAATGATTTGAAATGAGCATAGCAAACTGGAGTCGACGCACATAAAAGCTCCTGCGTTATCGAACTCCCCGCAATAATTGGGCGCTGAAAATACTGTAACCAGCTGCCTCTCTGCGAAAAACTCATAACCGTCCTCAACTACCTGGAGGCAAGAAAATGTACAAGAATCAGAGCATGATAATTTGCCAAAGAAAGAAAGAAAGAAAGAAAGAAATAGGGAGCCGCACACACACACCTGGTGAGCGCGGCATATTAGATCGAGGTCGTGTTTCTTCAAGAAGTCGGTGACTTTGTCTGCGCCGAAGGTAAAGGAAACTCCCCTGTCATTTTCGCCCCAACCTCTGATGTCTCTATCTGGATCGGCCCAAAGAAGATCGCAGAGGAGGCCCTGGTCCGGCACGTCGATGGGCCTCTCTATGTCTCCCACCTGGTTTAAGCTGAGCATTTCCGGGGAAAGCCCACCATGCATGCATAGGATCTTGTCGTCTATCACAGCCGCCACGGGCAAGCAATTGAAGCAATCTGTGAAGATCTTCCAAAGACGGACGCTGAAACGCCGTTTGCATTCATCGTAAAATCCGTAGATCCGGTTGATAGAAGCACATTCGTGGTTTCCTCTGAGCAGGAAAAAGTTGTCGGGGAACTTGACTTTGTACGCAAACAGAAGGGTTATGGTTTCGATGCTCTGTTTTCCTCTGTCCACGTAGTCCCCCAGAAAAAGATAGTTGGCGTCCGGAGGAAATCCACCCATCTCAAACAGTCGCAGCAGATCCGGATATTGGCCATGGATGTCACCTAGGCAAACAACACAATTTAAAATCAAATCAAATCAAATTCAACTCTTATAGATTAATTAGAATGTATACCACAAATGTTAATCGGAGCTTCCAATTGTAAGAGATTGGGCTGGCTGAGGAATACTTGTTTGGCCGTGATGCAAAGCTGCCGAATTTCGGGTTCTATTAGCTGAATCTTTTTTCCTTTGTTTTTCCTTCCTTCCATCAGCCTGTCTATAAGCCCCTCCAATCCTTCCATTCCCACCGCCCCTCTTCTCCCAATAAGCAATCAATCCGACCGATCTCGTTTTAGCACAGCAATGAACAGTGAACAACCAACAACCAACAAATGAACAACAAATCAAACAATGGTTACACAGTTTGGGGATGAGATTCCAGTTTCACTTTTTCCTCTTCTGTTTTCAGCGGAGATTAAAAAATAATAATGAGAATAAAGTCATGAATTTACGGGTACCGGAGAGTGGCCTTTGTTAGCCAATAATCACTAACCTCCCCTCCCTCAATATTAGGGGTCTCATCTCCAATCTTGGACCTCCTTTTACACCACTAATGACTACCCTAACCTCTTCATTTTTCCACTCTTCTAATTCCCTTTTTAACTTTCCTTCTTTCCCTTCATTCTTCTCACTCTTTAATTACTCTATTATCTGCTTATCTCCATTTTTTAATCGCTCTTAATTCAAATACATAATTTATTAGATTGTTTTTCCGCCAGATTCATCGAAATACATTGATATATAACAATTTTGTTTTCAGTTTTTTGGTTTCAACAATTGAAGTTTTTTTTTTTTTTTTTTTTTTTTTTTTTTTTTTTTTTTTTTTTTTT